CCCCAAGAGCCAAGAGACTCCCAGGAAGCTCCAAGAGGCCCCCACGAGGCTCCCAAGAGGCCCCAAAGACCCTCCCAAAAGGCCCCAAAACTGCCCCAAAGAGGCCCCCGAGAGCGCTCGTCGTCGTCGTCGTCGTCGTCGTCGTCGTCGTCGTCGTCGTCGTCGTCGTCGTCGTCGTCGTCGTCGTCGTCGTCGTCGTCGTCGTCGTCGTCGTCGTCGTCGTCGTCGTCGTCGTCGTCGTCGTCGCCGTGCCGAAATTAAGGGGTCGAGGGGGGGGGGGCGCGCAGGTCGGCGGAGGAAACGAAGTGGGCTGGCTAAGATGGGGGGTGGGGGGGGCGCGGTGCAGGTGCAGCGCCGAAGTAGAATGGTCGAGCAGGAAGTGACTGGCGGGGGAGGAATACATGGGCTGGCTGCGGAAGGGGGGAGGGAGGCGGGCGCGGCGCCGGTGCAGTGCCGAAATAAGAGGGTCGGGGCTGAAGGGGCACGTTGGCTGGCGCGGGCCCGGCTGGCCGCGGGAGGGGGGAGGGAGCGGGCGCGGCGCCGAAGCAGTACCGAAATGCAAAGGTCGGGGCGGAGGGGGCGCGCTTGCTGGTGGGGAGAGGAGGCGGGCTGGCTGCGGAGATGGGGACGTGGGCGGCCGCGGAGCCACGCCCTCCATCCCTGAAGCTGTTGTCAGTTATGTCAGTGTGTGGGTCATAAATGGCACGGGAGTCTCAGGCGAAACGGCCCGCCCTTCTGATTGGCCTCGGGGTGCGACAGGGAGGAGTTATTCAGAAGGGAGAGGAATGGAGGAATGCTGGCCGCGGGGGGAGGGCGGCGGGCGCGGCGCCCGTGCCGCGCCGACAGAAAGTGGTCGGGGAAGGGGGGAAGGCGTGGCGCTGGCGTCGTGCCGAAATTAAGGGTCGGAGCGGAAGTGGCGCGCTGGCCGGCGGGGGAGGAGGGCGAGCCGGCCGCGAAAAGCGGAGGTGTCTCGAGACTGGCGCAACTCGTCGGGTTCTCATCGCCAACGCCAGACACACTCAGGCCGAAGCCATCCACAGCCCGCACAAAACGCAGCCTGCTTGGCTGGCGCAAGGTGATCGGGCCGAACACTTGGAGAGGTTCCTCAATCAATGCGAGCACCCCATTGGAGGCCCGGAAATGGGCACCAATACCAACACAGGGGGTTGTCTGCACCGGGGGGGGATGATCCTGGATTTCGGTGTTGGTGGTAATATTTCGGCCACCTTGGAAGCCACAATCTTACCACCATCACCGAGATCGAGATCTTCTTCCCTCGGTGGGGGCACACCGCCGAAATTGGCGTTGGCGTCAGCCTCCAGGCCTGCGGCCTCGGCCGAACCCTCGCAGAGCAGGTCGCCGCGCGCGCCGACGTCGCCGCCGTTGCCAGCGGTCATCCCCCGGGCGCGAGACGGGCCGTGGGGAACTGCTCGGGGCGGCCGCGGCGGCCCGGCGGGCGAGGACCTCGCGCGGGCGAGGGGCGCGCAGGTGGGCGGGCAGACCGCGGGGCTCTCTCCCGGGAACGGCGCCGAGCCCCGACTCGGTCGAGGTGGGGCGAGCCCTCGGGGTCCAACTCGGAGGCCAGCTTCGCAGCAGACTACATGGGCGAGACAGCGCACCCCAGCATTCACCACGGCGGCTCCGCAAGGGCGCTGATTCCCCTCATCCTGGTCCTCCACGCGGTGGCCGCGGTCCTCATCCGCAGGCTTCGGCACAGAATTCTGCACCCCTGTCCTGGCTCGCACGGGGGCTCGCACTGTGACCAGGTAGTCTTGCGTTGTTTTGGCCGCTTGGCCATTGCGGGCCCAGCTCAGCAGAGCCCTGGACCCTCGGGAGGACCCAGTGCTGCGAAATATGCCAGTTGCCTCGGGCGACGCCGCAAGCGACATGCACGTTCTCACAATCACAGCTGAAATGCTTCATACTCTCAGAGGACCCCACCCCAGGAGGCGGTGACATTCCACCAGAGCGGGAAACGGAGGGACGCGTTCCAGCGGCTCTTCGAGCCCCTGCCCTAGACATTTTAGTGGTCCTCCCGCAGCGAGAGTTTAGGTGGATACGTGTCGCTAGTTCCCGGCGCGGATTGAAGACTCGGCACGTGCTGCAGCAGATCGCGAGGAATCATTACAGCGACTCTTTCGCAACAGTCTGAGCCTTTCCAAATTTGTTCCCCTTTTCCAACCGGCGTCTTTGGGGAGGGGATAGGACCGCCAGCACGGCTAATGATGCCTCTCGATTCGGTTGTTCGCCCAAGTAGGCCCAAGTAGCAGGGTGATACTGTGGATAGGTACTCCAGAACAAGGCGCCGTGAGGGCTGGCATGCAAGAGATGTTGTATAGCACGGCGCAGGCGCATATGCCCCTTCCTCTGAGCTCCAGGTCTTGGGGACTTGGCCATGTCAGCTCTGATATGTTAGTGCCAAGAGCAGTGCCACAAGATGTCGAGCGGCCTGCGCGTCCTTTGTGGTACGAGATGTCGTTTTCCAATTATGGCAATCAGCCTAAGGCCGAAGTGATCCATCAGGGCGATAGTGGCTGTGGTTCCTGCCCTGAAACTCCGGCGCCTGGTGGCAACGGTTATTACCCTGCCAACCCGTCTGAGGTGTTAGTCGAGCAGGCTCATCCGCACACGCGCGATCACCCTCACCTCTCTTCAAAGCCCTTCGAGCCAGAGGAGAAACCATGTTCGAATCCGCGGGAGCTTCTCTTACGAATTTAGTGACTGAGGAGGGGCAGGAGGAGGATCCCGAGTTGGCCGGGCATCTGAGGCGAGGCCGCGCGCGCTCTGGATCGCCTGTCAGGCTTCGGGGGAGCGATCGGCTGGCGGAGGCGAGCAGCTTCGGCGCCTGCGAAGAGGGAGCCCGCGTCCTGCGAGTCTTCTGCGTCCCCGCGCCATCCAGGAGACCAGCCGCACACGCTCGCCCTCCAGACGCCACCGACAGTAATGATTTCGATGTCTTGGGCATCCGCCCTCCCGGGTGCGCCACCTGTCGCGTGCGCCATGGGCCCTTTCTGTGCAGCGAGAACGGGAAGTTTGGTCCAGACTGTAGGGGCGCCCTCCCCGCTGACTGGATGCAGAAATTCTACATCTGTAGCGAGCACACTCGGGAGAGACAGCGGCGCGGCAAGAATACGGTCAACATTGGCGAGAGCTTTGGCCGCCGTCAATGTTGGGACAAAGACTCGGCTCCGATGATGCAGCCCAAATGGAATCGTTGGCTTGCTGCTAGGGCCGTCAGGTACCCAGAGGCTTCTCCTGCAGAGCCCCAGCGGTGGAAGCTCCAGTCAGTTGCTGAGGGTGCCCTGCATAGGCCTGAACCCCACGCCACGTTGACTGCGGTGTGCTACCCTGCTGTATGGCCGCCTGAAGCGGGCCGAGCGTCCTCCCCGCACCATCATGGCACTCGTCTTCCGACGATTGCTACAGGAAGTGCCGCGTGTGGCCTGATCGTGCCTCTTTGAGGCGGTCATCCTCAGCAAGCGGCCCTCCCTCGCGGTCGGGGTGTTTGGCGCTGGAGGCGCTCCCCTCCTCCGGTGCTTGGGTCAGGGGCACTCGCTCGCAAGCACGCGGAGCGTAAGCTTCGTACGTTAAGCAGGGCTCACCGCACCGGCATTCCGATCGGCCTTTCTTAGATCAGAAACTCGCGCAAGAAGAACAACGTATTTAAAACGTGAACCCGATATATCTAAAAAAAGACTGTCTCAGCCAATGTGTTCTGAGAACACGTCGTGCAAGCCACAAAAGGTTCTTAGAACATTCGATGGTGGGCAAATAGGCAAAACCACAACGCTTCGCCACAGCTTGAGTATGACATCGTCATTGGTTCTGTCCTATCCGATTATCCTCCTCATCTTCATCCTCTTCATCCTGCTGCTTCTCCCCCACTCATTCCCGTCTGATGGCCCAGAGATCTGACAGCCTGTTTAACAGAGCAAACGAGCCATACCCCGAGCGTCGTGAGGGTGATCACTTTCACTTCTGGAGGGGGGGAGGGGGGGCGACCTGAAACGTTCAGATTTTCGAGCCGGATCCAGCCGTGTCCACCCGGCCGCCCAAGAGGCTCAAAAATACCTCACAAAAAAAATAAACTCGCTCCTCGAGTCTCGAATCGAACCTCCTCGACAGTCGATTACGATGTACATAATAGTCGCGTGAAGGCTTCAGCGCGATCCCTTCTAATTTTGAAGGCTCCCGCATGCAGATCGGCAACTGAGATCGCGAAGCAGATCTGCAAAGGAGATCGCAAAGGAGATCGCGAAGCAGACGCGAGGTTGCGGGACTGCTCCCACGACTCCAAGATACCATACGGAGTACTGGGTGCTGGGATTCACCGACTCCTGGCATCCACGACATTCGTGCGTACGAGACAAGGACGAACGGGTTGATGTAGCAGGCAAGGGAGCCAAACTATTGGCTCCCTGCCGTTTCCAGTGCGTCCTTCATTGGGCCTCTAGAGGCACTAGGTTCAAGCCGTACTGCCGCACTATAAGCCATATGTGGTAAGTGCACTAAGCCAGCGGCCTCACTGGGAAGCCCCAGGTCCAGGTGCACGCCCTCACTTTGCCCAACGATTACCCTGACCTCCAGTGCCAACCATGATGGACGCTCACTCACGTCCAACGTGCTTTCAACGGTGGTGAGACCAGGAAGCTTGGCCCACTATCAGGAGCTCCGGAGCCATATTACATCAAGTCCTTCCCCCTCCCTCCTCATCCTCCTCCTGATCCTCCGCCTCCTCCTCCTCCTCCTCCTCCTCCTCCTCCTCCTCCTCCTCCTCCTCCTCCCCTCCTCCTCCTCTCTCCTCCTCCTCCTCCTCCTCCTCCTCGTCCTCCTCCCCCCTCATCCTCCTCCTCCTCCAACTCCACTCCTCCTCCTCCCTCCCTCCTCCTCCTCCTCCTCCTCCTCCTCCTCCTCCTCCTCCTCCTCTTCCTCCTCCTCCTCCTCCTCCTCCTCCTCCTCCTCCTCGACCGAATCGGCCGGATTGTAGTTGACAGGGACGCCTGCCCCAGCCGAACAGGTCCTGCTCGAGGTTCCTGATCGCGGGCTGCTTCTCCAGGTGCACCAGAGCGGCGCTCATGCTCGAAACCTTGGAGGTGTGGGGGGGAGGGCGAGGGGGAGGTGGAAGAGGTGGGGGAAGTGGAGGAGGGGGACGGGAAGGAGGAGTGGAGGAGGCGAGGGCGGGGCTGGAGAAGGGGGAGAAGGGGGAGAAGCGACACTGGCCAGCAGGGGAAGGGCGGACAAGGGAAGGAAGACGATCCGAGAAGGGAGCACCGAGAAAAACAACAAAACGATAGAACGAGGTCCGCAGCCCTCCGAGAGGACTGCCCCCACAGAGCACAGCGGGGGAGGACGGGAGGAAGGGGAAGAGGACGTGGAGGGGAGGAGGGAGGTGAAGAAAGGGCCGCCAGGAAGGAAACGAGTCCCGAGGGAGACGGTCGAAGTACCTTGCAAGGGGCTCCCCCCCGGAACTCCGGCTCTCCCTCCGGAGCGCTCTGTGGACGGCCCCGGGGCACGGGCCGGGACCCCCGAGCGCCCGAGAGCACCGCAGCGAAGCTCGGGGCCCGCTGCTCTCAGAACCCGCTGGCTCCCTGGCGAGGGGAGGGAGAAGGTCGGGTCGTCAAAGTGGGGTTAGCGATAGGTCGGGCGTGTCCCCCTACAGGCGGATTTGTTGGGCGAGCAATAAAAAGTACCCCCCAGAAATGCCACAAAGACTCGAAAGTAGTCCACAAATCGTCCCCAAGCTATTTTCCACTATTTTTGCATATCCCTCCTGTAGAGGGACAGTCCCGACTTGAGGTTAGCGTTCTGCCCGCTGGGCGCGGCCGTGGATCAGCGAGGCGGGGCCGGCCACTGCGGACCTGAAGAGGTCGCGGCGCTCGACAGGCACGATGGTTTCCTCTCGGATTTTGCAGATACGCTTCGTTCTCGTCTGTGGGTCGGCGCCAGCCGACACTACGCAGGAGGAGGGATGGAGCGAGGAGTTGATTGTCGTTCTTACCGTCTTCTCATCGAACAATTGTCGGCAGTCCCAGTGATTGGACAACGGTTGGGAGAAGTCATGGTTGCATGTGCAGTAGGCGGCGTTTGGCCCAGAGCCAGGCGCAAAGCAGAGATGCCTAAGTATCGTGGCCCTGAATTGTGTGGACGTTGTGGCAAGCAACCCGAGACGTTGAAACACAGAATATGGGAATGCGAATGCAATACAGGTAGTGCTGCATACGCCGAGTCAGACGAGTTGGTTTCGCAGGCGCTGGTCCAGTCCGACGCCGACGAGGCGTTCTGGATGCGAGGCCTGATGCCTCAGCCTTGGACGGAGGTGCCACCACCACCGTCTGAGGAGTGCTGGACGGCGACGCTCAATGAGGATGTGGCTGAGGGCTTCTTGGGCGGCGGCACGGTGGAGGAGCCGCTGCTGGTGTTTGGCGACGCCAGCGGCGGCGCTGACACGAGCTGCTCAGCCTTCCGCAGAGTGGGCCTGGGCATTGCGGTCTTCGGCCAGCTGGAGCCGACGGTGGAGCTGAAGGCCACTGTGAGGGGTCCTCTCGCGGGGCCTCGCCAAGTCGTCGCTCGGGGAGAACTCCGAGCCCTCCTCCTTGCAGTATGGTGCACTGTCGGCGCGATCCTCTTCGTGTCCGACTGCGAATCCGTCGTGCAGGGCTGGTTCGAGCAGAAGTTTTTGGCCCCTTCGGGGCCAGACGGAGACCTGTGGGCCCGCCTTGGCCAGCTGCTGGCCGCCGCCCCAGAGCGCTGCATCAGTGTGTTCTTTGTCAACTCTCACTTGACGGGGAGGGATGTGGTGCAGCAGCGTGCGCGGAGGTAGATGATCACGGGCAACAATGTTGTTGATGAAGTTGCGGGGTGGGCGGCGACGGGGGCCAGGCTGCCCACCGCCGTCAGACACAGAGTGTTGATGCATGAGAGAAGGGCGAGGCTGGTCAGGATGAGGATCTTGCGGTCGACGCTGGACGCGATGAGTGCGGAGGGCAAGGCTCCGCGGGAGAAACCATCGTCCTCCTCCGTCGTCGTCCCTCCTTCTGCTGCTTCGTGCTCCCTCTTCTCCACCTCCCACTGTCTGGATGACACGGGGCGGGGTTGCACGAGATGTGGAGGATCAGCCTCCAGAGCCACCACTGTCGAATGGAGGTTGAGCCCGTGTTTTCAACCAGTCCATTATAACGGGGTGCTTTGGTTTAAACCTCCCCACGTCCCCCTCCATATAGCGGGGGGGAGTGTGCATGAATCCCATAATATGCAGTATCATGGCCCATTAAAGTTATGGTATTGCCGTGATTGTGCAGGTTTCGGTGCTAATCAAATCCTCAAGCTGGGTCAGCCATGTCTCCGTAAGCTAACCCCGTCTGGGATTGAATACCTTGACCGAATCTCTCGTGGGCTGCGGCCGAAGGTCCTCAGCCGTGCAGAGCAAGCATCCCGACGTCCCAGGGGCGTAATTTAAGGTGCACAGGTAAGCTCATGTGGTACTGGTTGACATTGTCATATGGTCATGCTCATGCTCCTCCTCCTCAGTGGGGTTAGCGAATCGGCTCACGTCGCCGCTTCCTCGGGCGCCCCCCGACGCCGGAGGCGCCGATGCGTCGAGGAGAGCGGGGCCGAAATCGGCGGCATGCAGCAGAGTTCGCCACACCCCTTTCTGACGAACCAGCAACACACACACACACACACACACATACACACATACCCATAGGGGGGTCGGCGAGGGCCATGGGTGCGTGTTGTCGGATGGAGGCCCCCGCTCGAACGGGAGCCTTTCCCCAGAGTCCGACAACCCGCACCCATACCCATAGCCAGTCCTCCTCCCAACGACCCCCCTATGGGTATGGGCTTAAGTTGGGCTTATTCCTCTACAGGAGGAAAATTCAAAAATAGTCAGAAAATAGTCTCGGGACGATTTGTTTTGACTATTTTGGGCTATGGTTTGAATGTTTTTGACTATTTAAATTTTTTTCGTCTAAAATCCGCCTGTAGGGGGACATGCCCGACCTAAGTATAGGTGTGCGTTGCTCGTTCGTCGCAATCCCGCCCCCCCCTTTGGTCCGACGCGACAAGGGTTCCTTGGCGGGGCGCGCAGCAGGGGGGGGCGGGCGCGAGGGGAGCGGCCGTCTAAAAACAGGCCGGGCGTGCCCCCCCTGCAGGCGGATCTTGGAAGAAAAAATAACACATGTCCAAAAGATTCAACTACTACCCAAAAACAATCAAAATAAATCGTCCCGAGACTATCTCCTGGCTACCTTTGAAGGCTCCTCCTGTGGGGGGACAGGCCCGACGTAAAGTTACTTGGCGGGGCGCGCAGCAGAGGAGGGGCGGGCGCTAGGGGAGCGGCCGTCTCAGAAGCTCGGGGATCTGTTCAAGAAGGCAAGGACCGTCTTACAAGCCCTCCCCCCCGATCTGATGATCCCAGGGGGTCATGGCTGGGGGTAGGGGTGACTTTTTGGAGCTCCTTGGGTCCAGAGAATCACCCTCACCCCAGCAAAAACCTCTGGATCACTAGGTCGGAGAGAGCGTGATCCACCGCCGCTTTCCTGTGGAAAATTCCCACCTCTTCCTCCAGAACCCGGGGGTCCCCCCTCCCCCCTCGAAAATCCCACCCCCTGCTGGACCCCCCCCTCACACCTCCGACCCAACCAAACCCCCCCTCCAAAAAACCGTGTGGGGTCACAACCGGCCGGTTCGAGCCGCCCCCCCCTCTCCAGAAAACCGTGGGGGGGTCACTGCCGGTTCGAACCTCCCCCCCCCTCACCGCCGGCAAACGACCCCCGGGCCCCCACCACCGTCCGCACCACATCCCCCACCGCTGTCCCCAGCACCACCGTCCCCACTACCACTGTCCCCACTTTTCCCACAACCGTCCCCACTGTTCCCACCAGTGCCCCCACAACTGTCGCACTGTCCCCACTGTCCCCACCACGATTCCAACCGCGGTCCCACTCTCCCCACTTTCCCCACGGTCCCCACCACTGTTCCACTGTCCCCACTGTCCCCACTGTCCCACTGTTCCACTGTCCCCGCCGCTGTCCCACTGAGCTGTCCCACTGTTCCCACCACTGTCCCCACTGTCCCCACTGTCCCCACCACTGTCCCCACCACTGTCCCCACCACTGTCCCCACTGTACCCCTGTCCCATTGTCCCACCACCGTCCTCACTACCGCCCTCACCACTCCCACCACCGTCCTCACTACCGCCCTCACCACTGGCCCCTCCACCACCGTCCCCACCACTGTCCCCACCATTTCCCCATTGTCCCCACCACTTCCCCACTGTCCCCACACCACTGTCCCCACCACCACCGTCCCCACCACTGTCCCACTGTCCCCACCACTGTCCCAGTGTCCCCACTGATCCTACAACTGTCCCCGCTGTCCCCACCACCAGTGCCCCCACCAGTGTCTCACTGTCCCCACTGTCCCCACCATTGTCCCACCACAGTCCCACTCTCCCCATTGTCCCTAAGTAGTGTCCCCACCACTGTCCCACTGTCCCCACTGTTCCCACCACGGTCCCACTGTCCCCACTGTCCCCGCCGCTGTCCCACTGTGCTGTCCCACTGTCCCCACCACTGTCCCCACTGTACCCACTGTCCCACTGTCCCCGCTGTCCCCACCAATCTCCCCACTGTACCACTGTCCCACCACCGTCCTCACCACCGCCTTCACCACTGTCCCCCCCACTACCGTCTCCACCACTGTCCCACTGTCCCAACTGTCCCCACCACTGTCCCGCTGTCCCCTCACCACTGTCCCCACCACCGTCCCCACCACTGTCCCACTGTCCCCACCACTGTCCCACTGTGCCGACACCACTCACCACTATCCCAGTGTCTCCACCACTATCCCAGTCCCGAGGAGCGGGAATCGTTTGCCGGCGGCGAGGGGGGGGGTTCGAGCCGGTAGTGACCCGCCCACCTTTTCATGATGGACGGGGGGGGGTCGGAGGGGGGGTTCGAACCGGTAGTGACCACCCCCCAGTTTTCGAAGGGGGGGGGGAGGGGACGGGCTGGGAACCTCCAGTGACCCCCTCGGCTTTCCGCCAGCAGCGGTAGAACACACTCTTTCCCAGGTCGGGAGTGAGGGTCCTGCCTGAGTTGTGCTACCCACTCAGACAGCCTCCGCTCTCGCGCCACCCCCTTGTGCGCGCCACCAGAAAAAGGCAGATCAGCGAGGGCACCGGCACCGGCACCCGATGCGGGCAGGGAAAGGGGAAGGGGAGGGGAGGGGAGGGGAGGGGAAGGGAGGGGAAGGGAAGGGAAGGGAAGGGAAGGGAATGGAGGGAGGGGAGGGGAGGGAAGGGAGGGGGAAGGGAAGGGAAGGGAAGGGCGGAGGGAAGGGAGGAGGAAGGGAAGGGAAGGGAAAGGAAGGGAGGAAGGGAAGGGAAGGGAAAGGAAAGGAGGGAGGGGCGGGAAGGCAAGGGAAAGGAAGGGCGGAGGGAATGGAAAGGAGAAGCGACCAGCACCCGATGCGGGCTGGCCCGCGGCATGCCCCAGGCCCCGATGTGGCTGGCCCGCGCGGACGGCGCCCCGCCGACATCGAGGGCGCCGATCGCTCGCCCCGCCCCCCCGACCGATCGGCAGGGATCGACCCCTCGGCGGCGACCCGTCGTCTGGGCCTGCCGATCGGTCTGGCGGCCATGTTGTCGGCGTCGCCGCCCCGTCGCCGCCCCCGTCGCAGCCCTAGGTTGTGCAACGTGGAGTGCACCAGCTAGACTGCACCGCACAGCTTGCACAACACAAATGGACCATCATAGACTGCACCACTTAGTACTGCACCACATAGCTTGCACAGCACAGATTGAACCGCATAGATTGCACCACATGGGTTTCACAGCATACCTTGCACCACATAGTTTGCACCACATAGCTTGCGCCACAACTATCGCACCACAAATATTACACCCACTAGGCACCGCATAGATTGCACAGCATAGACTGCACAATCTACATTGCTAGAACGCACACTTTTCGTGTGCACCCTGGCTAATGTGTAATATAATATGTGTAGGTGTAAATCGATGTTGATCCACCTAAATTACGCTACCGAGGATACCCACATACTGATGTTTAATCTTACGCGTTTGCTTGTCATTATCATCATTGCGCAATCCTGCGTTCGAAACCCTCGTCGCGAATCGTCGTCGTACTTGTCGTACTCGTCGTCGTACTCGTCGTACTCGTCGTCGTACTCGTTGCCGTTCTATCGTCTTACTCGTCATCGTACTCGTCGTCGTACCTCGCCATCGTACTCGTCTTCGCATTCGTCGTCGTGCTCGTCGCACTCGTCGTCGCACTCGTCGTCGTCCTACTCGTTGTGCTCGTAGTGCTCGTCGTACTCGTCGCCGCACTCGTGGTCATCGTCGTCGTCGTCCTCCTCCTCCTCCTCCTCCTCCTCCTCCCCCTCCTCCTCCTCCTCCTCGCCCCACCCAATCCTCTCAACTCCTCCGCACTCCTCTCAATTCCTCCGCACTTCCCTCAACTCCTCCGCACCCCTCTCAACTCATCCTCTCACCTCCTTGTGTACTCATCTTTCTGCACTCCTCCGCACTCCTCCCAACTCCTCCTCCCAACTCCTCCACACTCGTTTCATTCACCTCGGCGCCCATCTCGAGCATTGATTTCTTGAGCTGCTCGCACGGCGGTGGCAGCGCGGCCATGGCGCATTTGGGCGCCATGACCGGGGCCGTACCTTTGACGGAAAGTCACTAGCAGTCGCCCGCGATCACATATCGCGCGGTCTGAGCCGACATGAGCCAGGGTGACTACAATTCTTGATGATGATAATGCTGATGATGTTGATGATGATGATGATGATGATGATGATGATGATGATGATGATGATGATGATGATGATGGCGCCCCCCTGCTTGCGTACCCCTGTGGCCTCAAGAACAAGTGACGCGCGCTACGCCCTGGTAGACTCCACCCCCTGCGCACCCCCTGTGGTGTCGAGAAAGTGCTACGCCTGCTATGCCTGGACGACTGGGGCGTATAGAGACCGCGGTGAGAGACCACCCCCTGCGCACCCCCTGTGGTGTCGAGAAAGTGCCACGCCTGCTATGCCTGGACGACTGGGGCGTATAGAGACCGCGGTGAGAGACCACCCCCTGCGCACCCCCTGTGGTGTCGAGAAAGTGCCACGCCTGCTATGCCTGGACGACTGGGGCGTATAGAGACCGCGGTGAGAGACCACCCCCTGCGCACCCCCTGTGGTGTCGAGAAAGTGCCACGCCTGCTATGCCTGGACGACTATATGACCACCCCCTGCGCACCCCCGCCACGCCTGCTATGCCTGGACGACTGGGGCGTATAGAGACCGCGGTGAGAGACCACCCCCCCCCCTGTGGTGTCGAGAAAGTGCCACGCCTGCTACCTGGCGACGGCTGAGAGACCACCCCTGCGCACCCCCTGTGGTGTCGAGAAAAGTGCTGGGGCGTATAGAGACCGCGGTGAGAGACCACCCCCTGCGCACCCCCTGTGGTGTCGAGAAAGTGCCACGCCTGCTATGCCTGGACGACTGGGGCGTATAGAGACCGCGGTGAGAGACCACCCCCTGCGCTGGTGTCGAGAAAGTGCCACGCCTGCTATGCCTGGACGACTGGGGCGTATAGAGACCGCGGTGAGAGACCACCCCCCAGGTGTCGAGAAAGTGCCACGCCTGCTATGCCTGGACGACTGGGGCGTATAGAGACCGCGGTGAGAGACCACCCCTGCGCACCCCCTGTGGTGTCGAGAAAGTGCCACGCCTGCTATGCTGGACGACTGGGGCGTATAGAGACCGCGGTGAGAGACCACCCCCTGCGCACCCCCTGTGGTGTCGAGAAAGTGCCACGCCTGCTATGCCTGGACGACTGGGGCGTATAGAGACCGCGGTGAGAGACCACCCCCTGCGCACCCCCTGTGGTGTCGAGAAAGTGCCACGCCTGCTATGCCTGGACGACTGGGGCGTATAGAGACCGCGGTGAGAGACCACCCCCTGCGCACCCCCTGTGGTGTCGAGAAAGTGCCACGCCTGCTATGCCTGGACGACTGGGGCGTATAGAGACCGCGGTGAGAGACCACCCCCTGCGCACCCCCTGTGGTGTCGAGAAAGTGCCACGCCTGCTAACCCCACCGCGGTGAGAGACCACCCCCTGCGCACCCCCTGTGGTGTCGAGAAAGTGCCACGCCTGCTATGCCTGGACGACTGGGGCGTATAGAGACCGCGGTGAGAGACCACCCCCTGCGCACCCCCTGTGGTGTCGAGAAAGTGCCACGCCTGCTATGCCTGGACGACTGGGGCGTATAGAGACCGCGGTGAGAGACCACCCCCTGCGCACCCCCTGTGGTGTCGAGAAAGTGCCACGCCTGCTATGCCTGGACGACTGGGGCGTATAGAGACCGCGGTGAGAGACCACCCCCTGCGCACCCCCTGTGGTGTCGAGAAAGTGCCTGTGTAGGTGTAAATCGATGTTGACCCACCTAAATAAACATTGTCATATGTAAGATACACACACGCACCTATAACTATGTTTGTATATCTATATGTATGTACCTTATACATACGTCTATGACAATGGACCCATACACACATCTGCGCACATGGAAAGACAGGTGCGCACACGATGCGGAAGCGCCCATCCTCGAGATGCGGTGCGCCCGAGCTCCCCTCCCTCTCTGAGCAGGGCAGCCTTGTCGGGGGGGACTCGCGCACCCGGGGACCAGGAATCGCCTGCGAGGGGCAAACGCCGACGGTCACGGCCACGGCGGCGGCCACGGACGCCGCCCGCGGCGGCCCTCCGCCGCCCCCCGATCGAGGCTTCGGCGCGCGGATGGCACCCCGCGGGGACCTCCGCAGCTCTCCACGGGGGCCTCACCGTCGTGGCCGACGCGCTGCGCCGCCACCGTCGCCTCCTGAGACCACTGGAGGCCAGACCCCCGGCCTGAGCCAGCCTCGGTCGACGGATCCGGGACTTCTGGGCCCGGGACGAGGCTGACGTTCGCGGCAGACATAGCGAACCCCACCACCAGCGGCTTCAGGCTGATGGCTGGCACCAGTGCCAGAGCCGAGCAGTGCTTCAGCTGGTACGAGTTGTGTGCGGCGTAGTCGTCAAACCAGGCCTGCGCTCGACCCTCCTTCAGGGCGTCGTGGCACCACTGCCTCCTGTCGGCGTGAGGCCAGGTGTGGTTTGGGGATATGACCTCGCTGACAAACCCCTCCAGGGCGGCCACGTCGTTCGACCAGATCGTGCAGGCCACCGCACCTTTCAGCGTGTCCAGGTCCGTCGGCCCATGAATCTCGTACACGGGCCTCGTGAAGAACGCAGCGAGGTTCGCTGTGTACGTACTGATCACGATCAGTATCAGGAACAAGAGGCCCAGGCGGAGGCATCGACCAGGCCAGCTGACCCACTCGTAGTCCTCGCCCCCGAGGAACGCGGCCCAAGCGTGGTAGCTCGACTGGGCGATGCTCTCTGGCGTGATGGCATCCTTCAAGCGTCCATGGCTTAGCACTTCCAACAAGTGTATCTCGGGCTGGGCGAAAGGGGGGGATAGCAAAGGTGGGGGGTGAGAATCAGCTCACGTAATTAGCTGATTTTCCTGGCGCCTCCCGGCGGCGGGAGGCGCCCATGTATACATGGGCCCATTCCTCGATATATCGAGGAATGGGCCTGGCGGCGGGGCCGAAACCAGCTGCATGCAGCAGATGTCGTACCCCCCCCTTTCCCTATCCCTCCATTTCGTTCGGCCCAAGTATCGTCATGGCGACGAAAAAAACGTTGCACACCACTGCGAACCAGAGGCCTGGAGTGAAAGGCTCGAACAGGCGCCAGAGATCCATCTCCTTCGTCGTCTTCAGAACCAGCACCCTGTTGGTGGAAGAAAAAATGGGCTGGCTGAGCGCGAAGAATTCGCCCACCGTGGCATCGTGCGAGGCGGCGTTCGAGATTCCGGCCAAGACTACGTCGCAAGTGTCTGCCGACAGCCCGTCCCAGAAGGAGCCAAGCGGGTCGTACGTGTGTGGCACGAGCTCGTAAGAGAAGCCCATCTCCTGGGACAGCAGGTCGATATATCGGCGACTCCGAAAAGTGTGATTTGCCGAGGGTGTGGTTTGCAACCCGCGCCTGGGGTAGGGCGGGCGAGGACCTCGACTGAGATCTCTGCCCCGCCCGGACGAAGACTCACCAAACCTTTGGCGCAACGTGGTGGCCCCGTAAGCCCCAGCGGCGCCAATCGCAGACCACACCTTGGCGTACAGTCAGAGCGCATGATTCGCCGGCCCAACGAGCCAGAGGCGTGCTAAGATCTCCGGTAAAAGGTTAACAATATTTCTACTTCGCGCGCGCGTGGCGGCCCCTGGGGATCCCCAGACGAAAAAAAAACCGGGCGATGCCCGGCCGATGCCCGGCCGACTCCCCCTGGGCGCTCCAGGAGCGCACCAAGAGGGCGCCGGGACAGAGGCCCCGAGTCGCCGAAAGATCCTTCCAAGACGCTCAAGATGGTCTCTAGATGGTCCCAGAGGCCGTGGAAAGCCCCAGGAGAGCATCAAGAGGCTCTCCAAGAGGGCCCCAACAAACAAAAATCGCCCCATTCCCTCCGGAAAACGTACACTTTTCGCACGTGCGGCGTTTCTCGTCTTTTCGGCTTCCCAACGCTCCAAGACAGCCCAAGAGGTCCCCAAGACCGCCACAAGACGGCCCAAGAAGCCTCAAAGAAGGCCCCAAGACAGCCCAAGATGGCCCCAAGACAACCCAAGAGGCGCCCAAGATGGCCCAAGATGGCCCCAAAACGGCCCCAAGAGAGGCCCAAGACGGGGACCAGGAACCGAAAAGCTCAGCCTTCAGCCCGAAGAGGCCCCCAGAAGACCCCAAGAGGCCCCCAAGAGACCCCAAGAGGCACCCCAAGAAGCCTAGAGAGGCCTGGGCCGGCGGAATGAGCGAAGCGATTGAATCCGCCCGCCCACCGGGCTGAGGGGCGTGTGGGACTTAATTGCAGAGCTTTAGCCCCCTCCCTTTTTCCCCCCCCAGAGGCCTCCGCCATTCCGCCGCCCGGCTGCGGCAATGCCCTTTTTCGGTTTCCAAAACGGCTCCACGACGGCGTCCAAGACAAGCTCGGTCTTGGTATCGTTCTGAAGACGCTGCCGGGGCGCCTGTGGGCTCCATTTCGGCCCCGTCGGGGCCCCTTCTTGGCCTCCAATATCCGCTCCCGGAGCCCTCGACGGCGCCTCTATGGCTCATTCTCGCCGACACGTGGGGATGTCAAAAAAATAGCACATACTATGGTTTTGGCCTGATTTCGGCTTCCCCGGGGCTGTCCAGGACGCTGCTTACAGTTGACTTCCGGGCTCGCGTGCGTCATTTTTCATCACTCCCTTTTGTTCGCCGTTTTGGGGCGCGCTCCGGGGTACATTTTGGACGCTGCGGGGCCCATGTTGGGCCGCAAAACAGACCCCAAACCAGGTCAGACCCCGCCCAGTTTTTACTGCAAGACGGACGCGGTTGCGACCCAACGCGGAAGTGCTGTCGCTTGAGCCGCCCTGGGCTTCCCCCAGACCGCCTCGGGGCCTTCTTAGCCTCTTTCTGGGCTCCTCTTCGGCCCTTCTTGGCACCCAAGAACGCCCAAGGGCGGCCAAACATCGGCCCAAGAGGGCTCCAAAAGGCCACTTTGAGGGCTCAAGAGGAGAGGGCGTCAATGGGGGACCCCGCCCCTCGTGTGACCGATGGCCTCCAAGGAGGCCCCAAGAGCTCCTCCTCCGAGGCTCCAAAGGGCCCCCAAGAGAGCCCAAAGAGAGCTCAAAGACCCCCAGGCTTCCCGAAAGAGCACCAAGAGGACCCCGAACCATTCAGAGGAGCCCCAAGAGGTCAACGACGGAGCCTCAGCAGCACCCCGACAGGCCCCCCAGAGAGCAACGTCAACAGCAGAAGCATCACCAGCAGCGGCAGCACCACCACTGCGACCAGCACCAGCAGCAGCAGCAGCAGCACCACCACCACCGCTGACAACGGCAGCGGCACCACAAGCAGCAGCAGCAGCATTAACACCGGCACCATCAGCACCAGCGCCAGCAGCGCCAGCAGCAGCAGCAGCAGCAGCAGCAGCTCAAGTAGGACCAACAGCAGCAGCGGCACCCGCACTGCACCGTACCACCAGCAGGAGCGGCAACAGCAACACCAGCAGCAACACCAGCCGCAGCACCACCACCACTGACAGTAGCAAGTACGACAAACCTACTGTCGAACAGCCACGAGGCATGCCTGAGCATAGTAGGCGATAGCATAGGAAGAGAGAACGCGGGACAAAAACAACACAGCACACGACTTTTATGAATTCCTGCTTATGTTTATCCCGTCATGGAGCCGTCTTCGCCTCGTCCGGCGAGAACTGGAATGGGCGGGCGGTGAACGCGAAGCGTCTTGAATCATAAGTACGCACGGTAAGGGTAAGGATGCAAGGGCCCTGGAAAGCCAGAGAGGCTCTTTTTCGCACGGGGCCGGCCAGCGAACGTCGCCCAGGATGGGCCGATGGGGGGCAAGCATAGAGGGCCACGTGCGAACCCTACCCACCCCCCACAACTTCTGAGGGGGTGGGGGGGTTCACTTCGTTCGGGAGCCCCCCGAGCGAAGTGAACCCCGCCCCCCACCCCTCAGAAATCGTGGGGGGTGGGGGTAGGCCCTTAGTGGGTTCGCGTGTGGCCCCCTAAAGCATGCAGGGGTAACCTCGGAGGGTTGCCCGTCCTCACCGTGCGCTCCGACTGCAACCACACCCACTGCAGCCGCCGAGCTGTAGCTCGGCACGTACCCCTCCCACCGGTGCGACGCACCCCCTGCGATCGGGACTCGGCACCTGCCGCCGGCAGGCCCTCGACCCCCTGAGAAGAGGAGAGGGCCCCGGGCCTCATGATGCTCCAACCTGCCTTAGCCTTGATCACCGGAAAGATTTCCGAGCACCAGAAAAATTACCGAAACTCGGGGGTTTTCACGACTCGGGCCCCGGGAGACACCCGTCCGACACTGTTTCGACACTGTTCCGATACTGTTTCGACACTTTCCCGGGTGCTCGAAAATATTTCTGGGCTGTGGTCCTTCAGTGCGATGGGAGCAACACAATCCGGGCCTCGGGCGCGGCTCGCCCGGCTCCTCCCCTGGCGAGGGAAAAAGCACAAAGCTCCGCAGACATGCTCGCGTCGTGGAGGAAAAAAGCGACGGGAGGCTGTGGGCCGTCTCCGGCGCCTGCCGGGCCCTCGCACACGGGCGCCTAATACACTTTGCGCCCGGGGCGCCGAATGAGAAGATTGGCAACGAGCTCGACATCGTCACGGTGACATGTCAGCGCATTGACATCGACGAGCGCAGGACCGTGACGATCACTGGAATGAATGTGAGCGGGCAGACTTACGAGCAGCGGGCAAAATACCTATACGACCACCCTTCGGGTGATAAGGAGGTTCGGGGGGGGGACCAACGTCTCACTCAATCGGTCTCACTATCGGTCTCACTATCGATCTCACTATCGATCTCACTATCGGTCTCGCTCGATCGATCTCACTCGATCGATTTCACAATCGATCTCACTCGATCTATATCATTCGCTCGATCTCACAAGGGACCTGACTATCGATATCACAATCGTCATCACAATCGATCTCGCATTCGGTCTCACGATCGATCTCACTATCGATATCACAATCGATCTCACAATCAACGTCATCATCGTCACCGACAACAACATCACCATCATCATCATCAACATCATCATCGGGACACAATCATCATCATTTCATCATCATCGTTAACATCATCATCATCATCATCATCATCATCATCATCATCACCATCATCATCATCATCATCATCCATCGGGGCACCATCATCATCATCATCATCATCAACAGCAACATCATCATCGAGCATATCATCATCATCATTATCACCATCGAGGGGCCATCATCGTCATCACCATCATAATCATCATCACCAGGACAGCGTAATCAGCATCATCACCATCATTATCAACATCATCGTCGGAGCACAATCATCATCATCATCATCATCATCATCATCATCATCATCATCATCTGCATCGTCATCTCATCATCATCATCATCATCAACAACATCGTCATCACCATAAGCATCATCATCATCATCGGGACACCAGCATCGTCAACATCATCATCAACATACTCATCATGATCACCATCATCATCGGGACACCGTCATCATCATCGATATCAGCAACATCATCATCATCATCGGGACATCATCATCGGGACATCATCATCATCATCACCGGGACACCATGATCATCACCATCATCATCAGCAACATCACCATTATCAGCATTCTTCCCATCAACATCATCGGGACACCATGATCATCACCATCACCATCATCACTGTCATCATCATCATCATCATCATCATCATCATCATCATCATCATCATCATCATCATCATCATCATCATCATCATCATCATCATCATCATCATCATCATCAACGTTATCATCATGGGACACCAGCAAGACACCGGCGGGACACCGGCGGGACACCGCGGGGCCCCGGCCGCCCGGAAGGGAGACATTTGGTCCGGCCGCGCCTCAGCCACAGGGGACACCAGCGGGACACCGGCGGGACACCGCGGGGCCCCGGCCGCCCGGAAGGGAGACATTTGGTCCGACCGCGCCTCAGCCACAGGAGACTTTCCTCTCGCCCGCCCACGCAGCTTCGCCTCGCCCGCACGCACGGCACGCACGAACACGAAACCGAAATCGATTTCCCGGTAGGGGGGCTCTCCGTTCCACTTCGATCTCACCCCCTCACCTCCGACCTCGTCGGCAACGTGCGCCGGCCCGTCCGAGCAGTCGCAGACATCATCGACAGTTCGGGATACGACGTTCACTTCGGGAATTCCAGCTGGATGGCGCCGGGGCCCGCTGCCGTGCCACCGGGTACCAGTATGCTGGAGCGCATCGAGAACCAGTCTTTCGACACAAGCTAGTTAGCCAGCCACGAGCTCGGGGACGTGGACGTTACCCAGGGTGACGCCCCCGAGGTGCCGGGAGGTGAAGAGAGCAGCGCAGTGCGAAGGGACGCCGAGACACTACGACGTCCAGAGACACAATCGCCAGAAGAGCAAGCGAATCACAAGCTCCGTGGGCATGTGCTGTTTGCCGCCTGGTGCGAGATTATCTATCAGGGCGGGCCCAAGACGAGCCTCATGTACGACGAGCTCAGCTTCGAGTTACTTTGTTGATCGTAGTCGCCCTCGACTACGGCTTTCTTGATGAGCCCAAGACGACGAGCTCGCAGCAAGACCAGTGCGTGCCTTTCCTCAGGATCCTCAAGGGGACCCTCAGGACCATCCTCTTAGCCTTGCAGGAATCGTCCGGCATCAGGATCAGGCTTAGCGCGGCCATCATGCCGCAGGCGGTGCAGCTGAGCGGCAGGTCACACGCCGTACGAGCAGCTGAAGATGAACTGGTTCAGCTCGGTGATGCTGGAGTTTGGGGAATGCGTCATTGGCAAGCTCCCGCATCTGGTGGAGGCCAGCCTCGACCAGCTGTGGCCGGAGGGCATGTGGCTGGGCAGAAGTACTGTATCGGTGGACCACCTCGTTGGAACCGGTGTTGGATGTATTCAATGGCGAGCGGTTCGAGCCCTACCTGCAGAGGGACGATGGGGCATTACCTTGTTCAAAAACATGGTCTGGAGCCCTTGGCACATCAACGAGAAAAGCGAGGTGGGCGACTTGCCGGCGGCCCCGGAGGCGGGGCCGTGGACACCGACAGAGGGTTGCAAGGCATGCGAGGAGGAAGCAGAGCCCGTGCGCCGACGTGGGCGACCGCGTTAATCACACGCGGGCGTGCCTGCATCGACGCGCCAAGCTTGGGAGTCTCGAAACGGTGCGTTGTCGGACCGTGCGGTGACCTCGAAATCCCCCAAGACCTCACCGCACGGTCCGTCACCGCACGGTCTTGAGACCTCGGAGGCCCCAATCGCCCGAGACGTCCTCGGAGAACGACCCGAGACCCAAAATCGTGCGGTGACCCCGAATCCCCGCTGGCTCAGCGCACAGCGTGGTCACCACCCCGTTTGGGAGGCCCCGAGTCGACCCGCCAAGCGGAGCCGAGTTTAAGCTCGAGCCGGAAGAGATCCAGTGGCCCCATCCAGCCTTGGTCCCCGCAACCCTGCGGGCGCCTCCACCAGCGTGAAGGGGCCCTGGGACACAGAAATAAATACACACAAATAACAGGATTCCCCATCTTTTCGTATATTTTCTAGGTTTTTGTCTTTCCCCCCACTTCCCATATTTTTTCAAATATTTTCGGGGGAATCGACGATTAATTGTGTCTGTGTGTGTTTTCCCTCCTGAGTATTGCGGGTGACGGCGATCAGAGCATGCTAATGGAGGCCATGGCCAAGAGAGATCCAGGTGCGCACGCAGACGACCTGGAGGCCAAGAGGGTTCGGCTGCGAGCGAAAGTCGCAGCGTCAGCATCCCGTGCGCGGACTGAGGGAGACGCCGAGGAGATGTCCAAGAGGCAGAGGGTGATCGTGGCCATCGAGCGGGAGATCGCCGAGCTCGAGCGCAACGAGGAGCAGCCGGACGACGTCGAATCAGAGCTGCAGGACACCAGGGATGACCAGCTCACCTCAGAGCCCACGAGGTTGGAGGACTAGTCCGTGTACTGGGCAGTGCCCAGGAGAGACGCGAGGACGCGCCCACTCTAATTGGCATGGGTTATGAGAAACGAAATGGGATCTGCAAGGCGAGATTATGCACTAAACCAGGACGAAGGACCAGCTCTACACGCCGATGCCATTCCCAGTGATAGTGAGGGCAATGCTCATCTACGCACGCTTCTACAATCGCAAAGTCCAGATATTCGATGTTCGTTGTGTGTGTTTGCATACAACCATCCAAGAAGATGTGCGGTTAGAGCCACCACCCGACCGGCCGAACCCAACCGACGAAGTGTGGCGCACCTACGGTGTACATGATACAAACTGCAGGACGCAATGGTCGAACTCGAAACCCACTTCGACAACGTCGCGCAGGGGCAAACGACCTTCCACGGCTACCCAGTCATGAGCATGAACAGGTGTGTCTCGGACCCAGCGGCATGGTACAGCGACGGTGTCAAAATGGTCAAGCACGTCGATGATGGGATCGTCGTGGCAGACGAGGAGCCTGTGGAGGAGTTTCTGCACGACGTCCAGCAGCATGTTCAGCTAAAGATCAACGAGTATGTGGAGGTTGGCATGACGCAGAAGTACCTGGGCGGACTCATCACGCGTTATTCCACGGGTTTTTTCCCGCAATGCCTCCTTCAAAACACTACGAGTCGCTGTTCAGCATGCTGGGGCTTGAGAATGGGAGCGTGGTCGTGACCCTCGGAGGCAAGACTCCAAGCACGAGGACGAGCAGGAGCTACCTCACGGCGCGCCCATGGAGCAGTTTTTCATCGCGCAGTTCAGGCCCGACTTGATGCCTGATGTATGCGTCGAAGGAGGGCTCCAGGGGCAGAGAACACCCACCGAGGGCGACAAGTGGAGGCCCAAAAGGCGGACGCTCTACGCCATCGGCACGAGGTACGTCGGCATCATGATGGTCCGCAGTGGGGGTACCGGCACAAGACCGAGAGATTGTGCGACAACGACTGGGCCAAAGACCTGATCGACCGGAAGTCTACGACCAGAGCAGTGGTCATGTGGGCAAGAAGCCTCGTGGCCTACCAAGACGCAGGGTTCGACGGCCACAAACATTGGCGAAGCCGAAGGTTACGCCATGGGCACGTGCACAGCCGAGAGCTTTGGGCTAAAATCGATGCTCACAGAAATGGGCCTAGAGAGGTCGACGCGAATACTATCGGCATCGAGTCAGACCGTGCGACCGCGATCTCCTCGATGTCTCGTTTGGGCTTCGGCAAGCTGATGAAGCACGTGCAGATCATGAACTTGTTCTTGCAGGAGTTTGTGCGGCGTGAGCACATTACACTCATCAAGGTAGGCGCGATGGCGCGAAGGAAAAAATCGTCGACCTCATGACCAGTATAATACTGACAAGGCAACGCTCGAGTATCACAAGACGGCACTTGGCATCTGCGGGATGCCAAGGGAACAAGCGGAGGTACCATCCATGGCAGGAAGGTTCCTAAAATGCCAAGCTCCACGAGGATCACCTACTCAATGCCGCGAGTCTGCCAACAAATGTGCGAAACGCCGGCGTCCACCCAGGATGGCCGGCTGTGCCTGGAAGTACCCCGACAGGTGCGATAAATAATCCGGAGACACAGATGCACCGCCGAAGATGCACGTGCAAATCGGCCAGATCCCGGGGGGGGATCTCGACGTGCCTGCCTGGAGGAATCGCCATCCTGCACGTGGCGCCCGTGGGCCAGGAGCCACGCGGATTCTCCATGTGGCGAGAGCGGCAGTGCACGCAGCTGCAGAGACGACGCGCCACTCTCCTATGTATGCAGAGGTGCCCCCCAGGAGGCATGCTGGCGTCTACAGCATCTTAGAGGCCACAATAAAACAATCCCACTAAGTGTGGGATAGCGTAGTCTTGTGTAGAGATTACTCTTGAGGGATCAGCGGCGCGAAAAATGCCGAAGCTCCTAAGGCATGTTCCAGCGGAGCGGTTCCGGAACGCTTGGGACTGAGAGAAGAACGGATGGGTAATGTACAAAGTGTGGCTCAAGGCCAAGAGTGCTGAAGAAAAGTCACCTGTCAGCCATCCTTCCATGAACTTCTATAGCCTAATGGGGTCTTGAACAGTCCGCTGAGCGAGCCCAGAGGCACTCAGGGGCGCATTATTGAGAAATCGAGGCATCGCATGCCTGGGTCTGCCACTCCCCCACCCCCCCCCCAGCACCCTGGCGGCGCGCACGAAGGGGTGGAGGGAGAGGCGAGGGCTTCTCAGAAGGAGGCTGCTTCTTAGAAGGCTGCGGCCCTGCATCTATAGAAAAGGCGGGTGCTTCTAAGAAGCGCTCCCCCTCTCCCAGCCCCGCTCCCAGACACCCGACGTCATGATTTTTCAATGACGTGGACCCCCATAAGTCTCGACCCATTCCCTGGGACCGGCTTCTGATCCTGGGCCGTTTTTTGACGGTCCTGGGGCCCGGAGAGGGGCCCCAGCGGCCGAACATAGCGAAAAACCTCCCGCTGGGATGTTTTCCCGACCCGACGTGGTCTGGGCTCTGCGCGCGGCTGGGCACTCCACTCCCGGCCAGAGAACGAGAAGGAGGAGCAACGATCGGCGAGCTGGCGGCACGCACGGAGGATAAGAGGGCGAGGTGGGCTGCCTGCCTCCGAAAAGGCAGGGTGCTCCTCGGAAGGGGTCGGAAGCCTCTGCTTGACCAGGCTGCTCAGAGGGCAGACGGGCGGAGGCCCCCCACGCCTTCGGAGGAGCCCACCCTGTCGCCCCACCCCTTGTTCGGCGCCGCCAGAAGGAGGGCAGGCGGGGCTCGAGGGAGAAAAGCAGGCCCGATGCTAAATCCCGGTCGCGGACCCTCGTCGGACCACGAGTAGCTGTAGGTGGCGTACGGCTCCATGGTCTGCGGCAACATACAGAAACGGAGGTGGACGTCGTTGCAGCAGCGGTACGCGACGCTGTGCGCTGCACCAAGCCTGTCCGCATGCGCCACCCAGCGCGCAGAGCGCCCACTCGTCCTCCCCCGCCTCCTCATCTTCCTCCTCCTCCTCCTCCTCCTCCTCCTCCTCCTCCTCCTCCTCCTCCGCCTCCTCCTCCTCCTCCTCCTCCTCCTCCTCCTCCTCCTCCTCCTCCTCCTCCTCCTCCTCCTCCCTCCTCCTCCAGCTCCTCTCAGGTCCAACGTAGGGTTCACCAAGCAGAGCATCGACGACGTCTGGCCCGTCGTGTCGTCGTCAGGTGCATGTGCAGTGGGAGGTCCTCATAGTATGCAGGTCAGTGGTCTATATAGCAGCTGGGTTAGAGCTCTTGAAGGCACCATTCTGGATCATCACAGGGAGTTATCTGGTTCAGGCACTCCTAGTCGTGGGATATCTCGTGCAGACAGTCCTTCGTTCCTGGTTCACCTAGTACATAAAGCTGCACACTTGCGGGAGGTTCCGTTTGCAGATCAGGTTACTACTTGATGGTCTCGTCTCCACACCGTGCTTCTCTCTTGCCATCGCCACAGAAGTAGGAACAACGGCAGCAAGCAGATAGTGGAGCTGGCCGAGGTAGCCAGGACATTGTCGCAGGATGTTCCAGAAGGGGTTAGCGCAGTTTTGATTCCAGGACGTAAGCATTTTACGTGGGAACATTGGTTACATCTTATTAGCAGTATAGATACTCTCAGCATGCATCTATTGGATACTATGCAAGCCCAGTCCGACAAAGTTGCGCAGAGAGCACGACGGCGTGCAGTTCAGGCCTCCATTCGTTCTTTCCAGGACTGGATCGTGCAGGAGTCATCTCTCGGCGCTGTGCATCGTTCTTTGCGTGTAGTCCCGCAGGCTGCCGATGAGCTTGTGGTCGACGGCGTGCGCTTGTTTCATCCCGTCGACATAGTAGATGCCAAGGTAAAACAGTATCAGACTTTGTGGGCCCCCGACAAGTACGATCCCCAGGAGCTCGAGGAGGTTTTCAGTATCGTTCGAGAAGCAGCCAGGGTCGAACAGTTGCCCGCCCTCAGCGCTGATGACCTTCGGAAAACTGCCCGTCGAATGAAATCGAGAGCTGGCCTTGGCATCGACCGTTTGACACCCCTGGACTTCGAAAGGCTTCCAGATTGTGCGTTAGACGAGCGTGCTGGCATCTTCGAGACCATTGAGGCTACATGTACCTGGCCGTGGCAGCTCCTCGTTGTTCTAGGGCGGCTGCTTCCCAAGAAATCGTCGGGCGACCGTGTGATCGGCCTCATGGCCATGGTCACCAGGCTCTGGAGCCTGTCCAGGGACGAGGTTTCCAAGGAGTGGTCCAGGTCCGTCGATTCTGACTGGGATGCTGCCGTCTCAGGTAATTCTCCCCTTCTCGAGGCCTTCATCAAAATCTTAGATGCGGAGGTCACGCACAAGCTTGGTGGGACGTACGGGGCCGCTTTATTAGACATTAAGAGTTTCTATGACAACATACGTTTCAGGAATCTGGTTTGTGCCGCTCTCAGGTTGGGGTACCCGCCAGTTCTGTTATTTTTGCAGCTGCAACTCTGTGTGGCACCTCGCGTCCTCTCTCAACTGGGTTCGCACTCCTTGGGCTTTCAACCTACACAAAGCATCATCCAAGGTTTGCGGGACGGCACTCGTTTTGCTCGTTGCCTCACCTTCTTCGTTTTAGAGAAGCTCCAGATCATGCATGTGGGGATGGGTGAGCGCATTTGGGTGGACGATTTGCACCTGTCTCTATCGGGGTCCAGGAGAAGGGTGGAGGAGGAGTTGGTCAGCAGCGTTGAAGATGTCAATATCATGTTTAACAAGGAAGGGCTAGCTCTCGCTGACAAGAGCGTGGTTCTCTGCTCGGACCATGCCACGGCGAAGTCTGTGGCCAAGCGTTTGAAGGCTCGCGACATCCTCATCTCTCCTGTCTTGCAGACCTCCTACCTCGGCGTCGACACTGGGGTGGGTAAACGACAGGCTAGAGCAGTTCGGGGGCAACGTGTCGTCAAGTCGGTCCAGCAAAATCATAAGCTTCGTCGGCTCGCCCGTGCTTCGAAGAGGTATCAAGTTACGAAACGCGTGGAGCTTGCTGGACCTCAGGCTGGTGCTTTCTATGGTTCTCAGGCTTACGGGGTCTTTGGGGCTCATCTCTTGAACGCTCGTCGTCGTCTTGCTGCCGTCGCTGGCTGTAATAAGAGGGGCCGATGCCTCACTACGGTTCTTGATTTGCGCACGCCAGGCATGGACCCAGGCATTCGATTTCCCGTTTTGCAGCTGCAGCAGTGGATGCAGGTTTGGATTCACTCACCGCAGCTTCGTGCTGGCATCAGTCAGGCTTGGCCAATGGTGCTGAATCAGTTGCGAGGTATTTCTCCCGAGCATCGCACGAAGCATATTCGTGGTCCGCTTTCGGCATTGGTGCATCAGTTGCTTGTGCTAGGCTGGGATCCTGAGCAGGCTGACCGTTGGCATGGTCCATGTAGTGATGGCGACGGCATTCCAGATTCTTCTTGGAACTTTCTTTCTGAGCAACTTGTCGGCATGGATCAGACGAGAGGTTTGGTCGAGGATTTCAGGAACAGTTTGCAGGTGCAGCTATGGTCGCAGGCCAGTCATCACTACAACGGTGCAGGCCTGGAGGGCGGCGCCGACAACTACAGCTTACGCATTCTTTTGGCGCAGCTTCAGGATGCAGTGCACGGCAGGCAGTTATCGGAGTTGCTTCTGAGTGTTGCAGCTGGAGGCTCCTGGATTTCTTCTCGGAAGGAAGCTGCAGGCATCCCCGTGGACCCACAGTGCCCTAGATGTCGTCAAGCTCCAGAGACTCATGTGCACAGGCACTGGACATGCGAGGCCAACAGTGGACACCCCGTCTACGAGCAGTCTAGTGAGTTCCTCATGGAGGCCCTTGCCCATCATGAACATGAAGCGTGCTTCTGGCATCGAGGCCTCATTCCCCGTAATTGGACCCTGGTGGAGCCCCCTGTGGTCTCCGAACGCTGGTTCACTACTGGGTTCAACGGGCCTCTTACTGCTGGTTGTCTTGGGAGTGGGACCCCTCAAGATCCTGTGGTTATTTGTGGTGACGCCTCAGGGGGTCCCGACGCCAGAGATCCCAGATTTCGTCGTGTCGGGCTCGCCATCGTGGTCGTCAATCAGTTCGTTCCGTTCCTCTGCGAGCAGTCTGTTGCTGGTCCGCTTCCAGGCAGATCTCAGACGGTACCTCGTGGGGAGCTTCTGGCATTCCTGATCGCTTTGCGATTCACCGACGAGCACCTGGTTTTCGTTTCAGACAACGAAGAGGTGGTGCGGGGTTGGTGGCAGCGTCGTTGGGAGTCGCCGCAAGGAGAGTTGGCCGATCTTTGGAGGGAAGTAGGAGTTTTGCTCAGGCACAGAGCTCCTGAGAAGATTGCTGTCCTTCAGATCTCGTCTCATCTTTCCCCTCTGCAGATGTGTGTAAAGAAGTATCCCAATTGGATGGTGGAGGGGAATATTTGCGCTGATGAACTGGCAGGGCACATGGCAAAGATGTTCCGTGTGTCCGAGCAGTCCCGTTTTCGTGTCCTGCAGGTCGAAAGGAAGGCAGCTTTGGTTCGGAAGCGTCTTATGAGGTCTACTCTGCAGGCCATCAACGCTGAACAGGCCTTGAGGAAGTCTGAAAGTACGAGGTCCGCTGCTGGTGCCGCCGCCGCTGACCCTGTCTCTTCTCTTCCTCCCCCTCCGCCTCTTCCTCCCCCGCCTAGTCCCGCTGCTGTCGCCCTGTTCTGTTCTGGGCATTCAGTGGACGGCGGCGGCTCGAAGTGCACGAGGTGTCACAACTCGAGCACGAAGGCGGGGCGCACGCGCTGGCTCTCTACATCTTGTCATCCTCTCGTCTCCTTGTCTCGGGGTCTGCTACAGCCTCCCGCGGGGGTACAGATTCATCTGGCAGGGGGGTGGGTGCATAATACTCACGCTATGTGTTTTCATGAAGTTTCGAAGGTTTGGATCTGTCGAGCTTGTGGCTTCTTCGGAGCTGAGCAGCTTCGAGGTCTCTCGTCCACTTGTCTCCCTTCGAAGATCACCAAGAAGCGGAGGGAATACCTCTCCAGATTCGAGAGGGGACTTCCCCCCAAGTAGTCAGTCGGTTATTGCTTCGCAATCGTTCCGAATCCGAATCCGAATCCTCCTCCTCCTCCAACTCCTCCTCCTCCTCCTCTTCTTCCTCCTCCTCCTCCTCCGCCTCCTCCTCCTCCGACTCCTCCTCCTCCTCCTCCTCCTCTCACGACGACTCTTCCTCCTCCTCCTCCTCCTCCTCCTCCTCCTCCTCCTCCTCGTCCTCCTCCTCCTCCTCCTCCTCCTCCTCCTCCTCCTCCGCCTCCTCCGACTCCTCCGACGACGACTCCTCCTCCAAGCTTACTCCTCCTCCTCATCACTCCTCCTGAGCTTCCCGCCCGCCCCCGGAGAGGCGTCGGGGCGCAGCGGCCGCACTCCGGCAGCAGCAGCAGCAGCGCCAGGGGCGGCCGCGCGGCCGCGCGCATCGCCGGCGCCCACGCCGCGGCGGCGGCGGCGGGGCCGTGCGGGCCGAGGCCTCCACCAGCGGCAACGCTCGAACGACGACAACGACAACGACAACGACTACGACCACGACGACGACGACGACGACGACGACGATGACGACGACGGGAAACGATCGGTAGCAGACGATGGGGGCCTTCTGGATGGCGGACGGTAGCGGCCTCCAGACGATCGATAGCGGACGATGGCGGACGATAGAGGCCTCCAGAAACCCTGAACCAGAATATGCTGCCATCTGAGCGAACCGGAAGAAACGGGTCTCTCGCAAGATGGCATAGCCACCTTACGCGATGGCATACGCGGGCCACCAGCGCGGCACGCTACACTAGAAACGAGGGCGCGTACGCGCGACCTCGCGCGGGAAGCTTACGCGCCGATGTCGGCGCAGACGACCCCGTTGTTTACCGTCGCTCATCTCTTGGGGGCGCACCTCTTGCTTCCGCAGGCTTCCGCCGGCCTCGCTTTACGTCCGTCCCACTTCCCGCCGCGCTTCCGCCGCCTGACGGCGGAGTTAGGGATATGGTTGTGGATGCCACGACAATGGACACCCTAACAGTCCTATCATCGAATTGAAAATGTGTTTAAACTGTCGGAGAATGTCATGCAAATGTTTACAACATGTGTCTTGCATGTTTAAAGCAGTTTAAACACATGTTATAGACATCTGGAAATGATTTGGCAACATGCTTCCTCTCCATTGATCGTCCTCCACAAGGGTATGTCAACTCCTTCGATCCTCGAAGGCGAGAGCCTGCCTGGAACGCCTCAGATGGGGGGTCCGAGTAGATGGGGTCGGGGGATCGCGCCGCACCGCCGATGCACCGCCGAGGCATCGCCAGTGCATCAGAGATGCATCGACGACGTCCGACGTCAGCGGGGAGAAACTCGGGCTCCGCATCGAGCCGCACAGGCGACGCATCGGCGATGCGGCGTGATTTTGTCCGACGCCATCTATACTCGAACCCCAGGTGGGAGGCCTAGAAACGAAGAACGGTATAAGACAGCTGCTTCCGCCACCCCGGACACCTGCCCCAGGGCGGCTGGAAAGTCCATAATGCCCTGACACGCCACCGCAGGGACACGAACCTTCACAGCCGCTCTGGGGCAGGCGTCCCCGATGGCGGAAAGCATTCTGGTATACCGTTCCTCGTCCGCTACGACGGGGGGTGACGGGCTCAGGGGGGAAACAGAGGGCTGCAATCGGCGATACGTCGCCGATAGATCGGCGACAGGCCCCCGAATAGCGAATCCGAACGCTCCTGGGCGGGGTGGGATGTCGGGCCTCTGCCGGCAATGGATGGGCGATTGGGGGTCGATGCGTCCCCCCCCCCTCCCTGAGCCTGTCCCACCCCCAAAGTTGCCCCTGACCTTCCGCTCCCTGATCTCGGGGGCGCGCAAACGTGGATTAGCGATCCATGGATTGGGCGCGCGGTCGCCAAATCCATGGGTCGGGGGAAATGCCCTCCCCAAAATGCGGCCGGTGCCGCCTCGCTCTGCGGCGGTAATCCGCGACTCCCCATGGGAACGGGACCCATCGCTAATCCACGCCTCCTCAATCCATGTTGGCGATCGCCTGGCTAAAGTTGCCCCTGACCTTCCGCTCCCTGATCTTCGGGCCACAGCTCGGGGCCTCTGGCGGCAGCTCGGGGCGACTCTGGCACCCCCCCGAAACGCCCTCGACGAGGCGGGGCCGATGGAGACCACGCCGGGCCCCAAAACCTCCGAAGACTTCCGGGGCTTCGGAAGACCTGCGAAACCCCAGCCCTGGGCACATGATCCCCCCTAAACGCCAGGCTTCGAAGAACAATAAATACATCAACATGATCGTTCGGAGTCGGTGCGGACTTCCGAGATCGGCGCTGGACCTCCCTCCCTGGCGCGCGGCGCGCGCCAGGGGCAGCGCCGGAGGCACCGCCACGGGGGCCCGACGCCGATCCAAGAGATCCGCGCGGACCTCCGAGAAGTGATATGCTTGTGCCGTTTGCTTTTCGAGACACCTCCCCCCTGAGCCCTGCCCCCCCCACGCCCCGCGACGTTGCCCCCCGAGGCGGCGGGGCCTCGCGGGCCGAGGCGCAGCTGAGGCAGACCACCCCGAGGGCCCCCGAAAAGCTCGAGAATGTAAAAAACATCAGAAACCTCCGGCGAACTCGACCCCGCAGCCCCCCCCCCCCAGAGCCCACGCCCCCCCCACCCCACCCCTGCGCCGACGGTGGGGAAATCAACAGGCGCCGGACCGCTTGCGAGGCGCGTTCTGACCAGAATGCCCGAGGCGAATCCAACGCTGGCGACGAGGGCCTCCCAGGCGGGCGAAAAAGGGGGAAACGGCCGAAGGGTAGCGGTAGGGTACATCCTTCTCCTCCGAGACTAGAGGCCTCCTAGATGGGGTCCGAGTGGATGGGGTTGGAGGATCGTGCCGCATCCCAAATGCATCGGCGATGCATCGGCGACACTGACATGACGCAAATCGGGCTCCAACATCGAGCCGCATCGGCGATGCATCCGCGATGCGGCGCGACCCTCCAGCCCCGTCTGCTCCGACCCCACCCAGGGGGCCTAGAGTCAGGTCGGGCCTGTCCCCCTACAGGGGGATGTTGGGCGAAATTTGAAAAGATAGCCCAAACAGATGCAACAAGAGCCGAAAATAAGCGGAAAATCGTCCCCAGACAATTGTTTAAACTATTTTTGAATGCTCCTGCTGTAGAGGGACAGGCCCGACTCAAGCCTGGAGAGACGCTGCCCCCGAGGCGGCAGGGCCTCGCTGGCCGAGGCCTCCGCGGGCGGCGGCCGCTCGGGCCGCGGCCCGCGAAGCAGCCGCGCGGGCAGAGGTCTCCGCGGGCGGCGGCCGCGCGGGCCCCGCGGCCTGAGGAGCGGCCGCAGCCGCCGGCGCAGGGCTTCAGACGGCCATCGGAGGCCCGCGGTCCCGGCAGCAGCCCACGGGGCTCTCGGGGCTCTCGGGCCGCGGCGCCCTCGGGGGCTTATCGAGGAGGAGGAGAAGGAGGAGGAGGAGGAACCTCCTCCTCCTCCTCCTCCTCCTCCTCCTCCTCCTCCTAGCCGTGTCGGCCCAGGCGCACTGGGCTTGCCCGAGTGTACTTCGACGCGGCTCGCTCGGGCGGGCCACGGATGGCGGCAAGGCACCCTTCTTGGCCTTGTGGGAACTGCGCGAGGGTGTATGGCACAGCGTTCGCCAACTATGCCCACCGCACCCACTGCCTGCGCTGCGGCAAGCAGGCGCCAAAAGGAGTGTTGGAGAAGCAGAGAAAGCAGAATCAGGGAGCAGCGGGTGGAGGCAAGAGCCAGCCCCCTTGGCAGAAGGCGAAGAACAGGTGGGCGGACGGACCGCCAGCCTCTCTCTGGGCAGGCTCCATCAGCCAGACCCAGGCCTCGCCAGCCCCTGCTGCTCAACCTATGGTCGATCAGGCAACGGCGAAAGCGATGCTTGAGACCATGGTCAAGGCACACGGAGATGATCGGAAGCTCTGGCCAGAGCAGGCGAAGAGCATGGTGGTGCAGTGGGACAAGGCGATGTCTGTCAAGGCGTCCGACCAGCCCGTCGACATCACAAAGCTCACTTCGTTCCAGCTGGGCCAGAGGCTGGAAGACACTAACAAAAAGCTTCAGAAGTCTGAGGAGCGGCTCAAGGAGCGCGAGGAGGAGTACCAGCGCGCCCTGGCAAGTCGTGACGCAGAGAAGCAGATTCTGGAGAATCACAAGCACAAAAAGCAGCAGCTCGAGAAGGCGAAGTCCGACGCCTTCCTCAAGGAGCAGGCCAGTGGTGCAGCCAATCCAGCCCTGCAGCTTTGTGGACGATTCGCAGAGCTTCAGCTGGCAGGCAGCGACGGCGAAGTTCCTGAGCCTTTGCGAGGGCCCATGCAGGCTCTTCAGCAGGCGCTGGAGCAGTACCAAAAGCAGGAGGCCGAGAAGAGGAGGGCCCAGCAGGAGAGCGCTCAGGCTGAGCAGCCTACCGCTCCTCCTGGTGACGGCGGCGGCAGTGGTGCAGGTGATGTCGGCATGGGTGCTGGACCCGAGCTTGACATCCCAGTGCCCGAGGACGAGGACCTGGAGGACCTGTACAACGAGCAGGGCCTCAAGCTGGACGGGGTTGACGACGTCGCCGAGATCCAGCGCATCAACGAAGCCCGCAAGAGGATTCGCCAGCAGCTGGCCTCAGCTGCTGAGAAGGCCAAGCGGCGCAGGGTCGGGGCCCCAGCTGCTGCAGCAGACACCCACTGAGGGCTTTGCGAAAGCTGGCAGCTGGGGCCACTTCCAGCAGATAGTGAGCCAGACGCAGCTCACGCTCCAGCAGATGGCGCCGCTGTTGTCGGCTCCACCTTCGCAGAGGTACCAGGCGCTTCAGCTGTTGGACTGCCTCAATTCGCTCGGCTCGACAGTGGCGTTTTCACTCAGAGCGGCAGTTGGGAGTTCGACGGCCATCCCTTCTTTGGTACCACAGTCAGCCATGCAGATACGCGCAGTTTCTGGCAGTGGTGTGGTTGACGGTGCTGTTTCAGAGCAGAATGCAGAGTTGTTTGGAGCTCTTATCTGTTCGCTCAACATCTACGACGGCATCGTTTGGGTGTCAGGGGAGCCGTGTGCGATGGGCAAGCCACCGCCCGTGGATCCTGACACGCCACAGTACATCTTTCGCGAAGGACTGATGTCAGCAGCATGCAGATGGGTTCCCTCACTTGCTTCAGATTCCTCAGGATATGAGGAGTGGATGGACATGTGCGGGCAGTACGCAGTTGTGAAGCTCAGGCAGCAATCACCTGCAGAGTTTCGGGATGAGGCTCACCTCAGCCAAGTTGCTCGCAATTATTGTTACATGGCATGGGTGCAGTCTAGCAATAACAGAGCCAACTTCCTTGAGTACCTGGACTGGCTGGAGTCGCAGGACATGTTCAACGAATGGGACAGGGTCATAGCTCTACACTGGCAGCAGCTGGGAGATATTCAACGTCTATTTCGCCGAGAGATACGTGCGAGTCGGGCCCCGCCTATTGATGCGGCTCGGTATCG